TGTTAATGAACTGAAACCATTTTAGCTTTTCGGAACTTTTTGTTGGTGTGTGTTTTAGTTACTGTGGTGCTATAGATTAACAAAACAATGACATTGGTAAACTGATGAAATGTTCCTCGCTTAATATATTGTTACTATATTTTTACAAAATATCGTGATCTTTAAAATGTTAAATGGCAAATATGACATATTTTCACGGTCATTGAAAGTCATGCGTTATCATTTCCTAAATCCTCAATGTTTTTTCCTTAAGTAAATTAGATATTTTTATTGATAGAACATATAACTTATAGTTTTTCGTCATGTTTGTGATAGTTATAATTACTATGTACAATACTGAATTATGCAGTATGGGTACAAAGCTGTCAAATCTATAATAGGCGAGGTGCTAGTTTTACGTCTATAACTCAGACTTGGCACTAAATAAGAGGTTTTCAACTTTATGAAAATAGTTAAGGCGTAGCATTACCGCTCGCCTTTTAATGATTACACAAACAATCTCAATTATGCCTCACTTTGATTCTCTTCTTTACCTTGAATATTTTACAGTTAAAGAAGAAAAATAATTTGGCAAAAGAGCCTGGTTTGGAACATTATGGGAGTAGAGCTCGTGTCTCCAATTTTGTCGTACGCACATTGAAATATTTTTAAGGACAAGTTATCCTTTACCTTGATCAAGTGACATCCTGTATTTTGAGAATATCATGTACTCGTGCATGTATCAATGTTGGGACAGCATCATAATTTGGGAAAGTTTTACGGACTCTTCGGAACTAAAAATTTAACGCCCTCGCAATATGTTTTATAACGCTTTTTCCATTAAGTTAATGTACATATTTTTCACTTTGCTCTATCAAGATAAAATAATCTGATTTAACCTGATTTCATGACTCATTATAAAAGTGTTCAAAATTAAAAGATATTCTATCATACCATATTCATACAAGTAAAATTGAAACTTACTTAAATGATATCAGGAAACGAAAAAAAAACATCATTAATTTTATCACCGAGGTAAGAGCTATTTTGAACAGCGTTTAGAAAAATAAAATCTAAGACTAATTTCAAACAAAACGCATGCAAAAAACAGGATCACAATCTTCATTTTGGAAAATTGAAAAGCCATGTAAAATTAATTCAGTAAATTAAGTTTCATAGGTACCTTAATTATGTAGCATCGAGTTTTATTTTGCGTGATCATTCAATTGACTACTGACGTTGTAAACCAAAACATGTACCGATTGTGCAGTGAAACTTTTTGTCCAACCAAATCAGTTGATCTGTTATCTAATGATTAAAAAGAAATTAATATAACATATATTTTCCTCACTAATTTTCAGTACTTGATTGATCGTTACATAGGTTATTATTCATTGCGCTTATCTTGATTTCCTGAACGACTTTTGAAAATATTTTAACTAAAGGAATTTTTTTAAAGTTTAGTTTAAATTAAGTAACTGTAAGTTTTACATGTTATTATACATTTTCAACATAATTATAATGTTTAATGTATATAATTAACTTAACGTTTTATTTTGCCGTCTAAAGCTATTCCAATTAACGGAACGCGTCAATAAGTGTTTAAGATTTTAATACTTTGTTGTTTAACGTTTGATGATTAATTCTAACGCGACCCGCATTTTTCCCTATTGAACATAGAAGAACAGAAAGTGTGTGTTATTTTGCAACAGATGCACAGTTTGACGTTCTATATTTAGAGACGTGACGTAATCATTATACACGTGACGTAACCACTTAAAATCCGACTCGCTGAAAATAAGTATGGAAACAAATCAGTCGCAAATTTGCTTAACTATCAAGTACGGCAACATTTATTTGTTGATGTCGTGTTAGAATTGAAATAATATTTCCAAATCAGTGATTGTATCGCTTGATAACATCACTGTTTGTCGTTCGGATGCGCATCATTATATCACTCGGGCTACGCCCTCGTGATATAATTCCTCGCATCCGAACTCCAAACAGTGATGTTATTGAGCGATAAATTACTGTTAGGGATATATTATTTCTTAAATAAAGTATGAATAAAAATGCACAAATATTTTGTAACTTTGAAATCAAAAAGGCATTAATATTTAAAAATATTCATATCTTTATGGTCGAAAAAAGCTATTGTTTTTTAAATGTGACTTTTCATTTATATTAAAACAAATACGTTTCGAAAGTTGTGAAATTATTAGGATAGACTGTAAGGTATAAACTATATGGTAAAATGAGGTTCAAAATGGCTTTGTGATAGCAAAACGAGATATTGCCACAGTTAACGCAATTATAGTAAATCACCAGAGGGTCATTTGCGAAAAAGAAATCACAAGTATACATATTATAAAAGATTTTTTATAAGATATAGCTATATACACATACAATAAAACAGTCATCAATTTTAAAACTTGAGGAATGTTCAAATCAAGGTTCACAAAAGATAAAATATGTTTCTTTCTTCACATTTAATAGATCTTATCGTTTTTAGAGTAACAACCGCGAGTTTCGCGAGTGAAAACCGTACTGGTCCGTACTGATTCGTAGTCCACCAGCTTTGTCAAGGATTTCCACGGTTTGGTACGGAGAACTACGTATTTGTACGGTTACCCTACGTATAAGCTACGCGTTTTAATCACGGATTAATACGCGGCATTGTCACGGAAAGCCACGATCGTAATACGTTGTACTACGGAGAGGCAAGGATTAGCACGGTCTTATACGGTTTAATTGCGTTGCAACACGAAAACGTTACGGAATGGTACGGTCCACTACTGTTTAGTACGGATGAATTAAGGATCATTACTTTTTCAAGGGTATAAATACTACCTTCTTGTTAAAAACAGACATATTTGCAGAAACATTCAATAAATGATAATTGCCATTTACTTGCTGCAACTTTATATTGAAATGCTCAGAATGCGGAGGCAGTGGTCGAGCTGCTTGATGACATGCATAGAGGTAAAATATATATTAATATCGTACTACAATAATTTATTCATAAGTAATAGAATAACATTTAATGTCACATATTTTACAAACATTGGATCGTGAAATTGGAGTAAATATGTACATAAACGAAGTGTCTCATAAGCCTCGGACGCTGGCCCTTGAGTGATAATAAGATTAATTAACAAATTTTTTGCATATTTTTTAAACATAAACATTCACGATAATTAATGTAATTGTAAAATGAACAAAGAGAAGCAGTATTGATCAACATTTTTCATTAATGATTACTAATCCATATGTAATCAGGTAAGAGAAGACAGACGAGATGGTGGACTAGAGATGGGCTTTTACGAAGACCGCTTCATGTTTAGTATGAGGTTCTCGTCACAGGGGGCCCACACAGTGTTTGGATGGTATATACTGCTTGATAGTGACCTTAAAATGAGATTTAATCATAACCTTATAGTATGTATATAAATATAGACAATATTTATATACATACTATAAGGTTATGACTAAAATTTCATTTTAAGGTCACTATCAAGCAGTATATACCATCCAAACACTGTGTGGGCCCCTGTGGCTCTCATTGCCGAACTTGTTGAGGATCCGGCATCCTTCAAGAAATTCACTTTAATCGGACCTGATGTGTCTCGGGGGTCGGACGCGATTAGGCCGAATCCTCTCCGCCAAAATCATTGAACTTCGTTTTCTATGTGTTCTTTTCTTGTGAAGCATTTTGAAAATGAGCAAGCAAGAGGTTGCGGACGGATGTATTAGGTCCGTATAGATCCGTGGCAATTTGTTCTTCTCCGTATCAAATCGTTCTTCTCCGTATCAGACCGTACTTATTCGTACTAACCCGTGCTTATACCATAGCAGACCGTAGTGTATCCGTAGTGCGTCCATCCTGATTCGTGTCGCTCCGTATCAAACCGTGTCGGTCCGTAACAATCCGTGTCTCTACGGGGGCTTTTGGTGGTAAATCCGCCGGACTCCGTACTCATACCTTTGTGTGACCGTACCGGAACCGTAGCGGTTTACGGAATTTCACATTTCAGTAGTAATCCGTGAACGATTAGACCGTAGCTCTTCCGTGGCATTATCCGTGAATATGTGACCGGGGCTTAACATACAATATAATGGTTGATACAGTGCATAAAGCCTTTTTGTAAGAAACACTATCGGCAAAGCTTCTTTGTACATGCTGTTCGTTATTAAAATTGAGTAATGAATAAAAATGCATAGTATTAAAGGTAAAACTTTTTTTGCCACAGAGAGAAATGATGGACAGTTTCTTTTAATTCAAAATCGGCAGAAGTTTACAAGTCTGCATTGAGTGAATCTTTCAAGAGATTGAACTTATGACACTGTGACCTGTAATTAACTGCGTAACCAACGAGTTTGAGAGATGTCAGGTAATTAAGATCAAATTGATATGAAACTGGAATGGATCATTAATTAATGTGGCAGCCTGATATTGAATGACATGTACTGAAATAAAATGTTGAGAATAAGCAAGTACTATTGGGAACTGAAAGACTTTGCCAAACGCGTGATGTGTAACAATATCGATAAACACTTTTTTTTATAAATACAAACTTTTCTGTACATGCTATAATTTTCAACAGTGTATTATTAAGTTGCTTATGTTGCTTTATCCGCAAGTATTCACAACTTAAAGATCATCTTGAAAGCAAGTTGAACATAAATCTTACCAGACGATGAGTATGATTTTAAAACATACGCGTGAAAGCATATACAACATATACATTTCAATGTGTGAAACTTGTAAACTGCAGCGTGTAATAACGTGACACAATATTTAAATTCATATGATATAAATATATCTTTTGTGGTACAATAGTAGAAGAAACTTAAAAATATATTAGGCACACGCTGTATAAATGTCTCGTTATTCAGCTTCAAATTTATAACTGTAGCTTAAAATCGTCAATAATTGGAAGAGGCTCATACACGGTTGATAATTATTCCCCCCCCCCAAAAAAAGAACACTTTAAATATACAGTATATGTATAATGGTCATATTTTAGTTTCAGTTTTCCTGGAAACAAACTAAAAAACTTGATGACGTGTGAACAAGTTTTATTTCAGATAGTCAAGATGTATGCTAGTTATCTTATATTATCGCGACTGTTATTTCCTGTCACTGTTAACATATCAAACTGACCACACTTTCAATCTTTTGGACCAATTCAAATTTCAATGTAATGATATTTTTATTACAAATGTAACTGATTGCCAAATCCTGAAATGATATTTATTAGACATACAATGTATATGTTATTTACATTTCCTGTTTTACAGAACCTCTAACAGGTCATAATTATAAATTCAAATGTTTTACAGTATTTTTGTGCTCCTTGAAAAATCTGTGTCTTCTGCCTATAGATATTTTGTATGTGCTAACAACATATATTGTATGTTTAACGCAATAAAATTATTTGAGTTGAGAGTTGAAATTTACATTTCCTGTTACTTTCTACTTCTCTTGGCAGAATATTAAAACCTCATATGTGCGATTATGTCTGTGTTTATTCCGGGGTGTGTATTTAAAATAAAACAAAAATATGTTACAAATATTAAGAGGGTATTTTTTTTCGTTTGAGTGAAATATGGAATATATTTGCACGAAACATGATAAAATGCCACATATTTTCACGAGCCGGGACGGCCCAGTTTCATATTTATATTTTATTTTTATTTTTAAAAAATATGAAATATATTTGATTGATATAGCACCATATTTCATGGATAAAATTAAAACAAAATATTATATTGATTAAGGGATCAAACAACGTGCAACAAAGGCATACAATGTGAATTTAATATTCGATTGATTTCTACACAATTATTCTGTAAATGTATGAAGTTAAAATTGTATTGTTTGTATGCATCCAATCACAACATTTTCATATTTGATGACTCAGTCACATTTTTAGTATGGCAATTAGTACAATTAATGTCTTGATTTTCTGTAAAAACGATAATCATGGAATGTTCTTAGATAGAGTGGAGTGTAATTAACGTATTCTTATACTAGTGTATATATGTTGTAGACCGTTGGTTATTTAGCTGTCACAACATTTCGCTCCGTTTTGTAGATGCCCATTCCGTCCGATTTCAGCCTGTTTCCTTTTAAACAAATAACAGTTAAATGTTACGTTTATTGTAGCCCGTCTTTCTCATTTCGTATTGTTAGTTTACTGTAAGAAGATCATCCTTTGTGTTTTACAGAATATTTTATCTTTTTAAAGTGGTATAAAAATACCAAAGAACTGAAAACATAACAATTGCATGTTTTGGAATGGATAGATCCCTCAAAAGCACACAATTGTAAAAAAGTGAAACTCGCAGACTATGTGAATTAAGTCTATTCTAATAGCTATTTAGATTTGTTCTACACATGTCACATTTCTTTCACCGGCCAGAGTTTTACATAACATACGAGTTATATTCTAGAAACTTAAATATACAAGTAGGTTTGTTTATATTTTACCCTCGAAATCTGGCCATGAATGCTGCAAACAGAGTTTTGAACAATAAACATTACATTCATATATTAACAAAATTTTCTGTTATTTCTTAATTATGCATGTGCAAAAAATTACAGATATTTTAAAACAGTATATCAATTTCGGCCACCATCCACCACCAGACAACACATAGAATAACAGCAACATTTTGCTTGATTTTTTACACACGCTGTATAATTAAATGCAATTATAAAATATTTACACATTTTACATATTATTATATCAATTTTGCAGGATAAATATTTTCTTTGGTTTGCATACTTATATATCTTGTCGATACCATAACATAATAACCCTGTAAGGGCCAGTCAAAATTTGGGTTTCGAAATAGGTCCTATCATTTTATATTCTAACTCATTGAATTTGAATAGTTTTTTTTACAATGTTCCTATTGTGCTTTTACGAAATTCATGTGTACATGCATCTATATAATACCAAACTTGTGTTATCATAATTGCATTGAGATAGTATAAGAAATATTTGTAATTGTGTGTTTGAATAAAAATGAATGAAAAAGGTTTAAATCTTTAATTATTACCGTTATCAATCACAATTATTAAACGTCTGTCCGTTATATGTATATTTATTGCACACTATAGGTTAATTTTCAAGAGGCCGATAAGGAAACCCGTTTGCAAGAGAAACGTATGTGTCTGCTATCCGTACAAACAGATAAACGAAGATGTGAATATTTTATGCTACATCACAGAAAGATACAGAGTAAAATCAACAAAGAGACAAATTAACATAACTGAATATGAAAACATGCCACAATTCTTTCATGTAGTAAATGCAAGTATATATGTCTAATACTTGAATTTTGAAAACGATAAAATAATACCAATCGATCACGCCAATATTAAATACACTAATTGTTTCACATGGAATACGATAGTACAATGATCTTCTATAGGTACTCATCAATTAATGATGTAATTTACGTTAAGAGCTTTGTTGAGAATTCAATTAGTCCTACGCATAAACTTTCCCCGAAAAATTTCCTATCTCTGGTCAGTGATGAGCATTTAATTATAATTACACGGCTTGTCACTGTATTACTGATAGCAGCACCCTTGAATGTTTTATGATCCTATCATGTTTCAAGAATGTATACTTTAAGGTAGAAGACGTATAGGGAACATTTTAGATGTAACGAAAAAAATAAATTTAACTTTTTAGTGTAAAGAGATCTATACATTTGTTAATAATAGTTAAAGACAAATAAAAATTGGATTACATTATAAAAGGTTTTTAATCACTTACAACTCACAATGAAAATAATTGTATAAATTACGTTCATATAAAAGGCATATCATACCTCAGTAATTTACATCATTTTTCTTATTTTTTTAGAAGTAGCAAAGAATGTTTAGTAATAATAATACTTGATTCAAAGCATAATTGAAGCTTATCATTCGATCTTGTAGGAAAAGAAATGAATGAGATTTTTTTAATGTACCAAAATGATACAAGCAAAAAGTACATAAAGTTTTTAAAGTAAAATTCTAAGTTTAAAGAGGAAATATTTCACGAAATAAGGATGCTAGAGTTATAAACCTTGTCATTCATGAAGTTAGTAATGATAAAGGACAATTGTCTTAAGTCTAGAGTTGATGTCATTCATAATAACAAAGTAATTTTTGGAAATATTTGAATTTTAAATAAATCCCTAATTCAAAAATGAAATGGAGATAATTCTAGAAATACAGGACTTGAGTTATAATTCTAATCGCACCTGATATAGGTGTTGAAACATTTTTATGCCGCGGAAAAGAGCATATCGAAATTGCTATGTCCCTCTGTTTGTCTGGATGTCCGTCTGTCTGTGCGTCCCCACTTTATTCATAACTTTGTCATGCATTGAATGATATTAAATAACTAGGCATTAATGTCTACCACCGCAAGACGATGTGTCGCGTCCAAGAATTACGTCCCTACCTCAGAGGTCAAGGTCACATTAACATTTTGAAGTTTCACTTTATCATAATTAGAGTTTATAGTTACACGCATTCGTGTCCGGACTGTCGTGCATCAAAGGATTACAAAATAACTAGGCATAAATACTTTCCACATCAAGATGACATGTCACGACTAAGACCCCTATCCCTACCTTCAAGGTCAAGGTCATATTTATAGTTTGAAGGTATTCATTCATTCGAGAAGAGTTTGAAGATACAAATTCATGTCCGGACTGTAACTTTGACCTTCTTCAAAGGTCAGGTCACACTTATATTTGGAAGGTTCACGCTATCACAATTAGAGATTATAGGTACAATACTACAAAGAAATATTAAGAAATTTGTTACTTTCACCCTATTTTCTTTGCATACGACCAGTCCTGCATGCTTAAGAAACTTTTTCGGGGGCATTCGTCACTTATGTGACAGCTCTTGTTGAAGTCCGAATTTAATAAGGAAAATTCAACGTATAAAGGGATGATGATTCTGAAAATATTGATGCTAGAGTTATAAAGCTTGTCATGTTATTGTTTAAAGTTATAAAATATCAATTTTTATTCAAAACAAATTTGAATGGGGTAAATAATCCTGGAAATATTCATGCTACAGTAATGAATCTTGTCACACATGATAAGGAAATACATTTGAAGTTAAAGGTTGATACCTTAAGAAATAAAAAAGAATGTAAAAAGTAACATTTTTTTTGAGAGGAAAAAAATTCATGGGGAGATAATTCTGGAAAAATTGGTGTTAGAGTTGAAAAAAAAAACATTACCACTATGACGTAGTTGATGATAAGGAACACATGTTTGAAGTTTAAACTTTAATATGAAATGAAGATGTTAGAGTAAAATAAAACATTATTTAAATTCAAGGGGATATAGTTCTGGAAATACTGGTTTTAGAGTTTTGCACCTTATCAAATGATGTGGATGGTGATAAGGAATATATATTTGAAATCGATACCTTAAGAAATAAAGAAGTTATAGGCGCATAAACATTAATTTAAAGTATGGACGCTAACTTCGACTTGTAAACTAAGGTAAGTAGGACAAATCACCATATTCTTAGTAAAGTCGAGCTAATAATAAAATTATCACTTACCTGGTCATTTTAGTTAAGAGTCTTGCACTTTGCAGTAAAAGCTACATCTATGAACAGATTTTTGTTTTAGGTTTTTGTTTTTTAGCAGGCCGGGAGCGGTGTTCAGTCATTAACATGAGTAACACAGTAACATGAGTAACATTGACACTAAGCTATTGAACTTTATTTATTATTAATTTAAAAAAATTATTGTATGTTATAAAGTATATTTACAAATAATTGCCAAGTTTCACAATTCAACAGGGCCACAGACCCAGTTACAAAAGAAAGGAGAAAAAAACATTGATAATTTTAGTGAGCGTATCTTCAACAGAAATTTGATCCTTCAAAGTTGGGGCCGTTAGATACAGAGGGGCAATAAATAATGACAAAACTCTCAACTCACTGGACGTGTTAATGGGAGACATACCGTTAATAGTGATTTATTAGCTGATAAGCCCTTACTGAGATTCAGCAGGCTGGAATGGTTTATGCGTAGGACTGTGTAGAAGAAGAGAGATTCAGCGTGAAGAGTTAATATGTGTTATGTAAAATTTATAGGGTCAGCGTGTACAAGAATAATGTTATAGAACACTGAATTACTGATTCGAACTAATAAGCTAAACATAACAAACAATGAAACATGGCTATCAGAAGTACATGATGGTGATTGATAAGTGCTTGGGAAATAGTTAATTAATCAGGTACATATACTCACCATTTTTATGTTTACATTCATCGTACTATTTTCATGTTTGTATATGTTTTAAGCATCACATAATTTTCACCGTCATTGCATAAGAGTTATTTGGCGGTTATTAACTATTCTTTAAACTGAGGCGCCTCTCTTTTATTGTCATGTACTTGTGTGCCATGCATTTTAATTAATAAACATAACATCTAAAGTGTGAATGTAATTTAAATTGTTGTAACTTTAACGTTTTAACAATTTTATATTTATAGTAACTTACACACAAATTCTTATAATTTGAAACAAGCATAATAAATTTACGCACGTTATAAGACTTTATAAAATATTAATAAGTTTTTTGTCAATATTTGTTTTTCTTGCATAGAATGATCATTTAATGTTGTTTTGACTCGTTCAAATTTGTTTATGAATAAACAGTAACATACCAAAGTTTCAAGCTAATATGAAAAACAATATTAAAGTTATATATTGTTCATTAAATTACAAACATAAAATTACATATACTTGAAAACCCCGTTATGCTTAAAGTGTAAGTCAATGTATTCATACGACTCATATTACATACAAATTAGAGAGTTTCAGATTGAGTATGCGATACATGCATATTGTGTGTGTCCTAAAGCGAGTAATAACTTTCCTATAAAATACACACAATCATGTGTTTCATTTTGTATCAGGCAATTGATCTTTTAAAACTTTTGAATAAATCTATGACTTTGATATTTTAAGGAACAAATTTGATGTGGAAAAAATGCAAATGAAATTGTTTATTTTATTTTACAGATTAGAGAAGAAAGGAAAAAAGTGATTTGATATTCAACAAATCAATAAAACGTATACTGGATATTAATATAAAACGGCATTATATATTATATGAATTAGTTACCATAAAATATGGATAAAAAAGGGCTGTTTAGACAAGTGATGCATCGGAACAAATGCAAACATTTTGAATGCGCGATGAAAACATCAGACATAAACCTTTAATATGGAAGTTGCTGAAGTGATTTATCATGTTTCAACTATCGTTTTATTTTTGTTTTATTTTTTTTTCTTTACATAAAGTAAATTATTTGATTCCGCAAAAATATATTCAGAAAAATGTATAAATATTATGTCTTGCATTGTCAGTGCTTTAAGTTTTGTGTAATATAATATTACACATATCTGGTTTTTTATTATATTTGAAATTTACAATTTAAAGCACATCGCTGTAAGTTTCATTTCTCAAAACCTTTTTTAAGTTTTAAGTTTGGTATCCTGTTACAGTTTCTTTAAAATGGTATTATCTCATTTTCTATATAGAATAATTTGCGATTGATATAATTTTTGTAAATAAGTATTTCGTGTAGAAGTTAAAATACTGCATAATTTACATTTTGCTACCTTTACGACATATTACTGAACATTCAGCGATACTTTCCTCATCTCTTAAACATCTTACATTCACTTAATCTTTGATTAAACCAATAGTGAATACATGTTTGACATTTCTAAACATTTTAATTATTATGGATTTCTGCGCCAGATTGTGCCTTTAACCTTTTTAACATTTTGATACCAGCTTGTATCATCCAAAAGCTTTCTTTGATACACATATATTTCTTATTATGTTAATTATATGTAAATTAATCTTTATTTTTATGTCTGATTTTCAATAATCAGTTAGAGATGAGATCGAATTTCACAACAATAATGTAAGTTATTTGTATTATATTCAATGAATGTTCAGTCTTAATTTTCGTTTGTTGCTGTAACAATTCATGGAATCTTATGATATAAGATATATAAAAAGATATAAGCCCTTTATATGCAGAAATGTTATTGCAAGTTAAAAGGTTTTCTTTGTTTTTTTTAAGAAGCAACAACAACAACAATAAAATAGAAAAAAACGACAGGGGAAAAAACGATCCAAAAGAAACATATCATTGAAAATACTTCTGAATATAAATAGTATTATATTTGTTATAACAAAGCAACCTCTTTACCATTGCAAAACATTTTTGAGATACTTTTGTTTTTTGATAAAAAAATATTTTCATTTTCAGTTATGTATTCATATTGTCTTTTTTGCTTTTTTTTATTTAAGTTAAACTGAGCTAATAATAGTTATCATAAGGTAGGCAAGGTAAATTATAATATACTATTTTTTAAAACACATTATTTGTTTTAATGAAATTCCTAAATATGTTGTAGAACTTCTCACAAATTGTGTAACTAATCAACACAATGTTCAACTTGTGTTATTTCCGCGTTATGCGGTTGCACTGTTAGTGCTTCAGTGTATTTATTGACTACTAGCGAAATGATAAATGTGGAATCGACTGTCTGTAAAATGGACATTATTTTACAACTAGAGTTTGTACGATAGCTGATAAGATTTACTACTTCTTTGAGTAAAGATATTTTAGAACATTGAATTGGCACTTATGGAACATACATGCAAAGCAGACAGCTATGTGTTAGTTGTCCGCATAAACTTGAATATTATTTCAAAAGAATTAACAGATGAAGATGTGCCAATATAATACCATAAAAATATAACTTTGGTTGAATACGTTTTGTATTCCCTCTGAACATAAAATTTAGCTATTTACTCAGCATACAAACAATAGATTTCCATGACAGCAATTAATCACATCATTGCATATATAAATGATAATGATATACCGCATTTGTATTACATTTTTACCATTTTATGTTTTTATCACTTTTCAATCAACTTATGTTAAATCAATGAATTATATATATATTTATTTATTCATTCATAAATTTATTTAATTATTTATTTATCTATTTGCTTATTTGTTCATCCCTTTATTCATTTATTTGATTATTTATCAGATATAAAAAAGAAAAGTAAATTCTTCCTATCATTCAATGCTATAAGGTTAGAAAGCAAAGATGCTTATCTTTCACCTTTTTGCCACTTCAAACAACTTTTTTTATGCCCATACTGAAGTAATGGGTAATTTCACATTCTGGTATATGTAACAGTTATAATATATTGGTAAAGCACGACTTTTTATCTGATCTTTTCATGAAGACTTCAAGGCTTATAAGTTAAATGAGAAAATAGTAAATGTCAGTAACTTTTAGTATGATTTTATACTTCAAATAACTGACATAAACTTATTTTTCTCATTTCAATAACACCCGGGCAAATAAAAAAAGAATGAGAAAAATCAGTTGAAGGCGCTTATATATGAAGTTTATTATTATTATTATTATTATTATTGGTCTTGAATATTATTTCAAAATTATTAGCAGTTGAAGACGTGTCATATTACCATAAAATCTTTTAAAATAAAACGTTGGTTGAATGAGCTCTGTCTTCTTTCTGAACCGGGTTATATAATTATGATATTTACTCATCATTAAAACAAAAGATTTTCATGACACCAAACTCACATCATCGCATATACAATTAATATTGATATACCGCATTTTTTACTACATTTTAACCATTTGATGTTTTTTTTTCACTTTTCAAGCACTTTGTATTACATCAATAATTTATGTATTTATTTATTTTAACTAATTAATTAATTTATTAATTTATTAATTGATTTTTTTAAATTTATTTATGTTATCTTTATTTCTTCATTTTATTTATTCATCATTAATAAATTGATTTATTTATTTACTTAATTATTTATTTATTTACTAGTTTTCATATAGTTATACATGTATTTACTTATATTTACTTATCTATTCATCCCTTTATTTATTTATGAATAATTAAAAAAAGGATAAAGTAAAAATCTTCCTATCATGAAATGCTATATAAACTGCTTTAAAAAAACATGTACTTTACGAGTAAATTGCCTGTTCATTTTGTTAAACGTTAGAAAGCAAAGGAGCTTATCTTTCACCTATTTGCCACTTCAAACAACTTTTCTATGTCCTTCCTGAATTAATTGGTATTTTGGAAAAACACATACCGGTAAATATAACAGTTATATTGTTAAAGCACAATATTTAAGACTTCTAAGCATAGTTACTATAGTAAAATGAGAAAAAATAGTATAATATTAAACTAAAAATAACTGACAAATTTTTTTCTCATTTTAATATCATTATTATTATTATAATTTGTTTATTTGTGTTATCATTATTATTTTATTTATTATCTAAATAAATAGAGGATATTCAAGATTTTTCTATAAATACATGATTTATTTTCATCGAGTGGTATGAAAATAAATATTTCATGAGTGGCGGTAGCCACGAGTGAAATATGGTAATTTTCATGCTACAAGATGAAAATAAATCATGTATTTATAGAAAAAACTTGAATTTTCTGTAAATTATATGCATTTTTCTCTTTTTGACATTAAAATTTGAAAGACTTTCCCTTAAATTTTGTGTACTGGCAGAATTTAAAAGAAAGTAGTCCGGCAAGACACCAGTGAAAATACGGAAAATATGTTTCACTGCTGTGAAAAATAGATTTTTATAGTTAAAATACGGAAAATGAAAATACGCATTTTATTACATCAATATTCTTCAATATTTCATTTATAAGTATATAATAAATATTATATATTTGCGCTAGTTTTTTTCCTAAAAAAGGTGATAATTAATGTAAATAATGATTACACTTTAGGTAAATGGATAAGTATTTTGTATAAACAGATAGCTGATTGACAATAATATGTTATTACTAGCTTGAAAAATATAATATTAATATCATTTTTATTTATTTGTGATAGCTTTTAAATATTTTTTCTTATATTTGTTTTATTTACTACATATTCTCACTGTAACAATATGATGCATGGTGGAAAATGTTAAATAAAGTAACGAATTGTCACAAAAAATAAAACAAATGCTTGCCTTATATTATTACCCTCCATTTTGTCATTGATCATACCATCTTTATTAAAACGGGGATAAACCATATATCATAAAACTTTTCATCTACATAAATAACAATTACAGGCAAAGAACATACTAACGCATGAGGAATGCAATGAAAAAAGCATCATGTATTGAACAGAATTATACCATATGCGAACACCCGTACTGATTTCGGAGAATGAACTGCATTAATGACAGTATTACTTACCCATTTCAAAAAGTATAAGAAATATAACATACATGTATTCTTCTATGTATACGTATATGTGTTCATCAAATAACTCCGAACAACGATTTCCAACATTATCCTTAGAAAATAAACCCATATGAAAAGATAGAGGAATATCAGACAGGTACAATGCGTTTGAGGTTGAAAAGATAGGGGAATTATTCCCCTAACTCTATCTCTCTTTCTGCATGTAAATTTGTTGCTGAAAAAGTGCATAGAGGTAGACCCCCGGAAAAAGGACATCTGGAATTTCCTTTTTTATTCTGGAACGCATTTTATTGTATCTGCATATTCATTTCAAATATAATTGTATCAATTGCAGTGCATAGTGGTCAACAAAACACATTTAAAAAGTTCAGGATTACGATAACATTACTTGAAATAGGTCGCTTGTTTATACAAAACTTTTTATGGAACTGTTTTTCAAATTTGATTCGAATTTGGTCTCTCTGATTGGAGAAGAAATTGGGGCAAACTGTTAGCCAGATTGATTGTTGGTTTTCAAATAATATGCTTAAATAATTACACATATCGATAAAGTTAGACACTTGTCGTAATTCGTCGCAAAACATATGTTTCGTACTGTTAGAAGGTCGTATTAAAGAACTTTTGCAAAAATAAAATAAAATTAAATAATGCTAGCAAGAAGTCTGTTAGTAGCACCCTTGACATATAAGCATTAAGAACTGGTTTTTACCAAAATATAAAAGAAAGATACAAAGAATTAGGCAAATATCCACCGTCTAATTAAACAAGCAATCAATGTACATGCATGTAGTAGTACTGGCGTCGCCGCATGTAACTTGTATGTATTGAACAGTCATTAATAACCATTAAATTAAGTATTTATAGAACATAACGATATTCTAAACAGCACAAATGATATATTTGTTTATATTTGTTTGTTTATTTCATTTAACGCCTTTTCCCAACAGTATGTCAGACATATAGGCGGGTAGTTTCCTTACAATCGTTCCTGGAGAGTTACACAAGTACTTGACAACCTTTCTCCGCGCTAAACTACCAAAGCATCTTCGGGGATCGAACCCACGCCAGAGAGGTAACTGGATTAGAAGTTAGATTAGATTCTAACCCCTCGACCACAGAACACAATTGAAATATTATTATTATCTAGTGCGGTTTGACAAAAATGGTATCTTGTTATGACTTGTTCAACGCTGAATTGTAATAAATGCTGGATTAAATTTGTTTTTCTAAAGTCAAGTCATTGTATTTTTAATTCTATATCTTGAGTCAAACAAAGATATAATTACATTACGAGTGTAAACGTTGGTTGCATCGAAATTATAAATAACATAAATAAATGGGTTGATATAATTATGTGGGAATTTTTTTTATACATGTTACAATTATACGATATAAGAATATTGGAGCCTGGTTGGAAAAACAGTGGCGGTTGAAACGACCTCCTTGATTTGCTTGGCTATATTTATTTCATATGCGATTTATCATGACTCTTTTTTTTAATCTTTGAAACAAACGATGTAGATATAATTGTATATGCTTAGAAACAAGTCAGCATAAAACGGTGATTTTGAAAAGAAATTTATTGGTATTCCAATTTAAATAATCTATGCTATAATAATATGTATCTACGTTTTATTTCAGTGCGTGACTATGTATTTAGCTTTATTGATAAAGAGTACATTTATCAGCAGGATTCATATTGGATCCAACCGGACAATTCCAGGTATCTGCAAATTCTTCACTATTCTGCATAAGCCCGACAAATCTGAAGACAGTAAAAATAATTTCATAGCATATTCAAAATGATAACGTTTTTATTAAACATACCGAAAGGAATTGGGCGAATTTAACACTAGTTACCATAATTATATATAGACTCTGTTTAGTACCCTCTTATATTCAGTGCAGTTCATTTGTCCTTTCTTCATTTTTTATTTTTTGAGGGCTTGGGGCGGGGTGTTGGAGTTTTCAAAAAACAAAAATGCATCTACTAGACGATTTAGGAAATATTATAGAACATTTATCACTTTCTTCCTTTGTAAGTATTAGACTTTATATATAAGCCATAGTTTTTTTAAAGTACTGTTTGCATGGGTAATAGAACAACCGTATAAAACATTTAATTATGTGACTACATAATATGGTGGCGTCATAAAGATAGGTTGATGACCTTACACTGCGAAAATTAATAAAAAATATTGAAAACCTCGTGAACAACAGCTACATGTATTATATTAGCAAAACAAACTATTTCAAATTTCCATGAGATAAATTCACACTGAGGGGATTATTACATAATGTCAACTCTAGAAAGGAAACGTCGATATCGATTAATACGTCACTTTCGGACTACCATTGAGTAAAACTATCCTCAATGGAATGTTATATTCTAACTAATCATTTTGACAGACTACGAACGCATACCATTAGGGGGAGAAAAAATCAGTACAGTTATAGGCGCTGTGCCGTAATTGGACTTGCATATCGATGTGGTGGTATGTGTGTATAAATTCTCTCATTTCTATAATAATTTATCTGCACACTTGTATCTTTATCTGATCCCACGTAGGGGAAAGTATAACTGTATTGAATTTAATTATCTCCCTTTGTATTTACTTTATCTGTCTAAATTCATTGTATCCTACGGATCTAGTTGATCTTACGGGATCCAGTTGACTTTCGGGAAAAGATATATAGTTTTATGGTCC